CTATCTCCAATAAACCACCAGAAAACCGGAAGTGGCGCTGTAGCTCAAGTGGTAGAGCGCTCGCCTTGAGCTGAAGAGCTGAGGGACAGCGCCCATGCCCAGAGTTCAAGCCCCACAACCGACCAAAAAAAAAAATTTATTTTCTCTGAAAAACAAGTGTTAAAAAAGGCACTATAGCCCTAAAAAAGTAGTCTGCTACTGTTCATTTATTTTTTCTAAATGTGCTTAGAAAGTGCTTAATAAATCTAAACATGGTTTGAATTTTTTCTGACCAGTCTTTCTCTCTTCCACAGGTGAGAACCCCCATATAGGCATAGACATGATAGACAATGACCAAGGATCAAGTAGTCCCAGTAATGACGAAGCAGCAATGGCCGTTATCATGAGCCTCTTGGAAGCAGACGCTGGGCTGGGTGGTCCTGTTGACTTTAGTGACTTGCCATGGCCGCTGTAAACACTACATGTTGCTTTGGCAACAGCTACAGTATCAAAGTGCATTACTGGTGGAGTTTTACAGTCTGTGAAGCTTACTGGATAGGGAGAGAACAGCTTTTATGTACTGATTTCATAAAAGCCATCTCAGAGCCATTGATACAAGTCAGTCTATGTGTAACTTCAGACAAAGTGGAACTAAGCCTGCTCCAGTGTTTCCTCATCATTGATTTTGGGCTAGCTGTCAATAGCTTGCATTACTTGTATATTTTGGATTCTGTTTGTGTTGAATTTTTTAATCATTGTGCACAGAAGCATCATTGGTAGCTTTTATATGCAAAATGGTCATTTCAGATGTATGGTGTTTTTACACTACAAAGAGGTCCTCCATGTGGATATTTCTTATACTAATTGTATCATAAAGCCGTTTATTCTTCCTTGTAAGAATCCTTTACTATAAATATGGGTTAAAGTATAATGTATTAGACAGTTAAATATTTTTAATAAATGTTTCCCTTGTTCTATAAATATTATTCCCATTTCAGTTTTTTAAAAATATCTATATGCTGCAGGGCTGGACCATCAGTTCCAACAGTGGGTATTTATGGATCATCCATGCTAGTTACATTTGCAATGCTTTTACAGTACTTGGGATTGAATTTAGGGCCTTAAGCACTCTATATCTGAGCCACAACTCAGCTCTGCGATGCCTTCTTGATCTTCATAACAACTCTGGAGCTTACATAATTTCCTTATCCTACCATCTTAATTTAAGTTCAAGGGCTTCAAGGGCTAAGTGACCTCAGATACAATGCACCTCAGTATTTCTGTTTTTCTTGTATTAGACTACAGAATATTTAAAATAACATGCTAAGCAGAGCAGAACAGTATACTAGAAAAGGCAATGAACTGGTATAAGAGGTTGCCTCTGCAGCAAAATTACTACACACTACGGTAAAGTGACTTCATCTTCCTTATAAAGTTGGAATAGAAAAATGTTTTCTTTTAACCTCTGATATTTAGAGTATATTTTATAACTAGTAGGAAATTTAAGTAGTGCCTCACCACAAATATACCAAATAAGAGCTCTCTAGTTATATTTATACCAACAAGATAGTCTATTAATCATGAAACTACATCTAATCAGGGGGATTATGAAGCTGGTCAGAAACATGAAAACAATGGAATTTTATTTTGATGAAAAACTTGAGTTTACAATCATTTAGTAAATGAAGAGCAAACACTTCATTTTCCTATCCCATAACTCTTTAAGAAAAAGCATTAGTAAATAAATATCTGTGAACAGATTAAGGGTAAGGCAGACTGGATAATAAACCACCTCTGATGTTCACTCCCTGCACTTGACTCACTTGAACTGATAAGAGCATCAAATCTCACCCTAGTCATTCAAATAAGCCCAAGGTAAATACTCACTTTTTTGCTCATCACAAGCAAACTATACACATTTTACTGAAGGAATACTTTGATAGAAGCACTTATTTAAGTTATATTGTGCATCACAACTATAAAATGGCTTGAACAGTTCCATTTAACCACCATTTATAAAGTGCAACTACATAATATTCTGCATTTTATCTGAGGTGAGATGAATATCAATCTACACTGAAAATACCCCAGGTGCCAATTTCCACCATTTCTGAAAAGACCTAGATGTGTGTGAAAAAGGACTGTCCCCCATACAAAGAACCAATTTCACAAACCTACTGGTAAACAAATACGTTTATGTAACTAGAACCTCAGGATGCTAAAGTTGTACTCATTTAAAAAAAACCATTCGGCTACCTTTGGTCTTTAAAAAAGCCTACACTGCAATATCCTAAATATGTGCAGCTCACAATGAAGAAGAGTGGCCTTGCAGTGCAGAATGAGGAGTACACCGTCATTGTGAAGAGTAGCATGCTATGGTTTCAAGGATCATCAGCATCACAACATTGGGTTCTGGGCATCAGGATCGAGGTCACTGTTGCTAGAAGGGGGCTGAATGGGAAGGCTGTCCAGCTCATCCACTTGTGGAGTTGGGTGCATGACCACCAGCTGGTCCTGGGGAATGTCTGCAGCAGCTGCTGCCAGGTTGGTGATAGATTTACTTTTTACACACTGAAAGTCTACATGCCGGCTCTTTCCTTCTTCCTTCTCCCAGGACATGCGAATAAAGGGTCTTTGGACATAGTTGTAAATGACTTCTGGGCGGCCTCCAGGCCTTTTCTTTACTTTTTCTTTGTAGGTAGGATAACCTAGAGGAAAGAAAGGTTTAAAAAAACTGAGGATACACACACACAATTTCACACCCAATTGAGCAATTAAGGGCTTTTCTGGTTGATACACATCCTGAACAAATAAGAAAGTTGAAACAAGAAGGGAAACCAATATTTCATATACTTAGTCATCAATTCAACAGCCAGAAACTAAAATTCTACTGGTGCAATTCACAAAGCCTCCTCCATCTTTCCAGTTACTCAATAAACAAACCACCAAAAAAAAAAATTCTTAAAGTTTATGGCTGGGATGGTTCTCCAATAAAATGGTGTATCAGCCGGAACAGGTCTTGGGCTCTTGCTGTATATTCTCACTCTCTCATAATGATCTAGCCTGAAGGCCTGCAATTTATCACTACATTAACCTCTGGTTCCTTAAGCCTAAATTCATCTGTATATTGTTCTGGGGTTCTCCCTGCCTTTTTTTTTGTTTAATAGCAAAGTACTTAACTCCCTAGCTGGTTCCTAAATAATAATTTTCAGCTACATCAGTAAGGGCAATACTTTAATCTCTTACAGCATTTTAACATGTCTATCTATCCCAACAACAAAGCAGTTAATTTAAATCTGTATCTCCAAAGCAGTTTTCCCTAACTATATCTTCTAGATCACAGTCACTACAAAAAGTAACAACTAGTGATAGTAACCCTAGTTTTCAAAAACTTTACCAGTAAAGCCATTTTTCCTCCAACTATTAGCAAAAATTGCTAGTTTCAACCAGGGATAATCAATCATATTCTATAAAAGGCTAGAATAAACATTTCAGAGTGGGTAATATTGTTTCTATTAAGACTACTTCTGCCACTATAAAAATCAGTCACAAAAAATGTCAATGTTTCCAATAAAACTTTATTTATTTAAAAAATTAGGCAATGGACTACAACAGGCTCATGGGCCAAAATCAAGACTACGATGTCAGAAAAAAACTGCAAAAGCCTTACAAAATAGGTACTCATTTAAAATTACCAGATCAAGGAATGCTTGTAGTCATCACTGGTAGCTAGTATATTTAGGTATGTATGAAGTATGTATGAGATGGGGGTAGGGAAGGCCAGAAGGGCCAAAATCATTTTAGCCTGCAGAGCATCCAGTTTATCACTATCACCAGAGATAGGAAAGTTGTCTATATTCCCTTGTCCTTCATTCCTCCTGAATTACTAAAGAAACTTGACAATTCTTACTTTACTGTATTCCACACTGTCTTCCACAGAGCATCACCACTCTATACAAGTATAGTTACATTGCATCCTCACTTGAAAACTACCAATGGTTTCATTACACTTCAAAGGGAAGGTCTGTATTCCTCAACATAGTATATGGGCTATGTATCAACCTACTTGATCACTTCTATTATCATATAACTCCCTCCAATTCCAAGTTCTCTGTATACTGGCCATATCAAATGTTTCACTTTTTCCTGAATTTCCTTTGATGTTTTTATACACGGATTTGCAGTTGGCTCTACCAATTCCTCCTTATTTATCTATGTTCTCTTGGATCCTCCTCGTGTCTCTTATGCATCAGGTCAACTGAGCTCCCATGAGAGTCAACACACTCAATATTCTGAAAGCAGACTTCTTTTGAAGAACTATGAATTGAGAAAGGGTAAAATGAGAGAACAAAACAGCTAATATGGAAAGAGATTTGCCCTTTAGCATCCAACATACCACAACATTTCTACTTATTTTTCCAAGAGAAAAAAATTACAGACGTGACAGGAAAATATGGATGTAGTATATACATTAGAAATATCTAGAAAAAGATATTGAAGGAAGTATAAGAGCCTGGTTAATTAATGCCTAACCAAAGTCAAGACCAATTTATCTAGGCAAGTAATGTCAATAGTAAATATACAAATTATGTTTATACTGACTTTTAAAAAATTCCACTAGTAAGTGCAATCTATTAATGCTATCTATTAAGATAGAATTTCATAACCACTTTGAGATTCTGAAATCACAGAGACCTGCGTTCAAGCTCCAGCTCTACTCTATAATCCCCAAACAATTTATTTAACTCTTAAACTTCAGTTTCTTTGTCTTAAAAATAGAGATAGGCTGAGTGCTAGTGGCTCATGCCTATAATCCTAGCTACTCAGGAGGCTGAGATCTGAGAATTCTATTGCAAAAAGCCAGTCTAGGAAGGAACGTCCATGAGATTCCGTCCATGAGATTCCTATATCCAGTTAACTACCACAAAGCCGGAAATGGAGCTGTGGCAAGTGACAGAGGCCAGCCTTGGGTGAAAAAGCTAAGCAACAAGGCCCAGGCCCTGTGTTCAAGCTCCAGTACTGGCATACACACATGAAAAAAACAAATATTGGGTAACCAGAACATCTCTACCAATGAGAGAAAACTACAAGAATGACAAGTAAAAAATGTAAAAGAAATGACAGAATTAAAACATGATAGTTTGCAATCCCTAATCAAATTACTGACCTAAGCAAGAATTGTCTGCTAATAGTTATAATCTCAGGTAATGAATAGGGAGTTGCACTTAATGCCTTATAATTTGCATGTCATCTTTGTGCAGGGGCCAAGCTAATCTTCTCTGTCTAGTCCTAATTTTAGTGTATGTCTTAATGAAGCAGGACAGTTTTATGAGCTGAACATTCTTATTGTATCAAAGTAATATCATATCCAAAAACAGCTTAAGAAAAAAATTAAATTATGCCTTTATATCTGGAATAAAATAAAGGACAAATCCAGAAGCAGGACAGTGGGCACAGGCTATTTAATAGGATGGTGTGATAAATAAGGGCACATTCAATATTGAGAGATCAGAAATAACCAGCAGTCAATTATAAGGTATGATCATGGACTGGATCGTGATTTGGAGGACAATCACAAAAAGCATTTGGGAGCGGTGGCACTGGGCAATTTTAATGTTGGTTGATACTAAGACATTATTTTTAGCCAGGCAATTCTAGCTATTCAAGGGACAGATACTAAGAGGATCAAGGATTGAAGCCAGCTCAAGCAAAAAGTTAGAAAGATCCCATCTCAACCAATAAAAGCTGTGTGACACTCTACGTCTGTGTTCCCAACTACATGAGAAGTGCAAACATGAAGATTAGGGTCCAGGTTAGCCTGTGCCTAAACATGGGATCCTATTTTAAAAAATAAAGCAAAAATTACTGAAGGTATGACTCAAGTGGTCTATAAAATGCAAGGCCCTGAGTTCAAACCACACTTAGTACTGCCAAAAAAGAAAAAATGTATTGTTCATTTCATAGAGCAAGATAAAATTTTTAGAAAACTATTATATATCATGATATAAGGTAGTGCTATATGATTTTAATGGAATAAGCAGTACTTGTAACTAGATCTTTATAATTACATTAAAAATAACTCAATATTTGGAGCACTGTATTTTTCTTGTATAGAGAAACAAGTACTCAGTTTCAGTACTTAAATGAAGCTTTTACATAAGTTATTTCTTCATTGAGAATCTATATACTATAAGCACCAGGCCACATTATCAGGTATATACGTAAAACATAACTTGATTTCTCTCACAGAATTCATGGCCCATGACCAACCAACTATATCATACACTACATAGTATGCTGTTCTGAGGAGCAATGTCACTGAAGCTCCAAGGTTTGAAAGGGTTTGAAGAATAGTAGTAGCCATTAGAGAAAGTGGGAAAAAGTAATTTCTAGTCAACCTCATTTGATCATTACAACTATCCTTTGATGTACACCACTTCATAGATACAGAAACAAAAGGTTTGACTTAAGATCCCTGGCCAACATTCCTTACTACACATCTTCTGACACAACATTATATCTACATTATTCATAACAAGTATACCTCCTTCAAATCCCCTCATCGCCTAATATTCTAGTTGCATTGTGTTTTCTGTACCTCCAATGCATTAAGCTCATTCCTACCTCAACACTTTTGCACTTGTTTTGTTCCTTGCCTAGAGCCGTCATTGTAACCAGGGCTATCTAAATAATAAGCTATCTAAAAATTAAGCAAGTTGTGATTTTGTAATTTGTACAAAATTTGAAAATAAGCTATTATCACACTGTCAGCTACTGTTTCTACATGAATTTTCAAAATGTAGCTTTCAGATGAGCTCTAGTGGCTTAGGCCTATATCTTTAATTCTAGCTACTCCAGAGGCTGAGATTTGAGACCTTCAAAGTCAGCTTGAGTAGTAAATTCCAAAAGACCCTTAGCTCCAATTAACTAACAAAATGCTAGACCAGAGAGGTATGGCTCAAGTGCTAGAGCGTCAGCCATGACCAAAACAGCCAAGTGAAAGTACAGGCTCTGAGTTCAAGACACAGTTCCAACACACACAGACACACACAGACACACACACACACACACAAAAACACAAACACATACACACATGCATACATGAATGAGCACAAAAAATGGTTTAAAAATATACCAGGTTTCAAAGACCACTACTAGGAAAAAAGCCTTGTCAATTTTATAGAAAAGTACACACAGGTAAGCCCCCTCATTCCTCATCCACACTCATTTCATCATTTTATACATACACAGTTTTGGCAAATGGCAAAAAAAAATTCAATACATATCCTAAAAAATTAAGTGAGGGAAGAGATGAGGTGGGAGAGACAGGAGAGAATGTTGAAAGGGGTGACACTGATCAAGAGGACATACTATATTTATAAGCTGCTTTGTTGAATGGCAACTCCTTTGTAGAGCTACTTAAAGTTAATAAAAAATATTCAAAGATAAATAAATTTTAAAAATGAATGAGCTATGGCAGAAAAGACAAAAATCTCATTTCTATATCACTAGAGAAGTTTACAAAATAAAACTTTATAACGGCCTGTCTTCTCAAAAGAAGTTATTAGCTAATTTGTTATTTGCATGTTTTCTGCAAAAGAATTTAATAATCCCTTGTCAGGAGTTTATCTCAAATTATTAGGATCCATTTTAGGGAGGAGACAGAGCTGGGGTTTTAACTCGAGGCCTTGTGCTTACTAAAGCCATGCGCCTCCAGCTCTTTTGACTTTAGCTAATTTTTTCAGATAAAGTTTGATTTTTTTGTGCTATGGTGGTAAGTAGGTGGTAACCTTTCTCCTTACACCTTACCTGGGATTATAGCATGCATTCTTCAGCTAAGTTTTTACTGAGATGGAGACTCACTAACTTTCAGCCTTGGCTGTCCTATAACCATAATCCCCTCAATCTAGCCCTAAGAAATTACTATGATTTTAGGGATAAGCCACCATGCCAAGCCTAAACAGGATCCATTTTTTAACCCAGTTTTTTTTTCCAAAAACAGATTAATAAAAAATAATAATGTCTTACCTTCTATTCCCAATCTAATCTTCTTAAGACCTCTTTCCTTCAAAACTGATTTGGCCACATCTCTGTTTTCAATGTACTTGAAAAATCTATATAATTTTGTGCTATAAATAACTGAAAACAAAAAGACAAAAAGATTTCATATTAATATGAAAGTTCTTAGAAATAAACTTAAATTTACCTTTATCATCAAAGGGTCCTGACAGCCCTAAAACCCCAAATAATGGATGCACTAATGCTAAAGGCAGAGTAGCCGACATTACAGGACAATATTCAGTATAGTTAATGTAGAAGCAAATATCTACTTAAGTGGAAACAAGAAAAGCTTTGATAACCAATCAGGTAACCCAATCCATAGGAAGAATTTCTTCTGAAGATGCATCTTATCCACACTTATTGGAATGGGATCTGCCCCAAGTTTCAAGTAAGAGAAATAAAAGATGACATCAATAACATGATTATTGAGCAAGCAAAGTAAAGGACTTTGCTAAGATGCCTTCAAGGCCTGGAATGGAGGAAGAACTACCTTGTCAAAAAGTACAAAAAGGTATATTTTACATTTCATGGATTGAGCAACTATTAATAATTCCCCCAAAGGCAAGACCCTCCCACAAACTGTTTTCCATCCAGGCAAATAGCCCCATTTAATAATGATGTTAACAATGGCAGATTCGAGCATGTTCTGCCTAGGTTAGTCTGTTTAGAGCAAACAGGCTTTGCAAAGGGCAGACATTCCACTGACAACATGTTGAGTCTTCCAAATGTGCTGGGAACTTCAGGGAGTTAGACTGATGGGCCTTCCTCGCCTTCTGTCTTTCAGGTGGAGTTATCTCCCTTAAAAGGTGAACTGCAGAGGTTTTTTCAAAAACAGAAAAACACACTCACAAACCAAACATGCTGGTTTAAGAGTCAATAAAGGAAAATACGTCAACAAAATTCTACTCATGGGATATATCTGTGGTTATTACTAAATCCATAAGATTATTCTTTTGTGTGTGTGTTGTGTACGTGTGTGTGCATGCACATTGCTTATAGGGGCTTGAACACAGGGCCTGGGCGCTGTCCCACTTAAGTTACAGTTCCAATTCTAGCTTTTTCATTGTTAATTTAAGAGTCTCATGGACTTTTGTGCCCAGGCTGGCTTTGAACCATGATCCTCAGATCTCAGCCTCCTAACATAAGGCACTGGGCATGAGCTATCAGTGCCCAGCAGTTTCCTGGTATTTTGATAAAGAATTTTTGACATTTTGGAAATAAGTTACATTTTAGGAAATCAGGCTGAACGTGATAGCTCTAACTTCTCAAATGTGTCTTTTTCAGGATGGAACATTTTGGAACAAAATGGAACATTTTTCACAAAGTAAAAATATGTTTAAAATGCTTAAAAAGAATAAAAATGTTTAGTCCTTTTACAATTCAAAGCTTAAAAATAAGAAAACAAAAAATATGAAATGGAAAGCTTAATACAGGAAAGGGAAAAGTAAGCTTATTATAACCCTTTTACCACTATAATGCTACTGCTTGGCAGCAATCTCTTGAAGTCTAACTTTTTGGAAACTGAAATCTAAATGATACACTTATTCATTCTACTTGCCTAAAATAAAATAATACATTATATTTCTTTGGTCTTTCATTCCTCCCATGTTTTGTTCACCTTTTGATTTTATATAATACTAGAAAAATACATCATTAGGACTGAGGAAAACAACAGAATTGCTTATAAGTAGTTACAAAAGAGCAAAATACCCTAAGTACATCATTCAAAGAAAATTCTGAGCATTCTCTCAAAAAAGTGCTACCATAATTCATATTAAAATAATCTTTTTGCTGAGTGCTGGTGGCTCATGGCTGATTGCAGTTCTAAGCCAGCCTGGGCAGGAAAGTCCACGGGACTCTTACCTCCAATTAACCACCAGAAAACCAGAAGTGGTGTGCTGTGGCTCAAAGTGGTATAGTGAAAGCCTTGAGAGAAAGAGTTCAGGGACAGCGCACAGGCTCTGAGTTCAAGCCTCATGACTGACAAAATAGTAATAGTAGTAGTAATAATAATAATTTAAAATAAACAAGAACATCAATTAGAGTCAGCTTTTTCATTTTGCTTTTTCTTAGAAAAGGGTAAAGTGGAAATACCAGAGATTAATAGGTTTTATAATAGGTTTTAGGCTTGCTTTGTCAGCTGATAACACCACTTGTGTCATGTGTGCAGCCTGGCTTTTTAATGGCTACTTTGGAACTAATGTATCCCAGACATTTTCTGCCGGATTCCAGCTTCTTGAGTAGCTAGGGTTTATAGGTGTGAGTCACCAGCACCTATTTGAGTTTCAGTACTTTCTATATTCCTGTAATCCACACCCTATAGAGTACAGAACAAAACGTGGACTATTTACTAAGCTTTTTGAGATACTTTTGGAAATTTTTTCCATCTGTGCAACTGCTCAAAAATGCTAATACTGGATTCATTAAGATAAACAACATAAGACAGATTTTCTAACAAAAAAAATCAAACAAGACTAACCACGAAAGTTTGGGCTCTTTTGGTCAGAAACAGCAATAGAAGTATATAGTTCATGCTTTTGGAAAGACCACGGTATCTTCCAGGATCACATAGACAATAAAACAAGAACATCTTTGAACTTAAAGTTACCCTCCTACAGCCAAAAAAAGAGCACTTCTCTATGTGGCAGGGGTGAGTACACTTTGTCTTTGCAGGGCCAGAGAGTAAATACTTCGGGCTTTGCGAGCCATGCAATCTCTGTTGCAGCTATTCAATTCTGCCAAGATAGCATGAAAAGCAGCCATAGGCAAACCATAAAAACCTTTCTACAAACAGGCAAGGAGCTGAAATTGTCCCCCAGGCTAGTTTGCTGACCCCTGATGTTTGATGCCTATTATGACCACCTACAAAGCCTGACCTTTGATTGTAATAAAAGAGATAATCTATGATTGAAGAGAAAGAAAACATGCCATAACTTACTTTGTGAATATTCTTCTCCCATTTGTGGTGGATACTCCTCATCCCAATCAACCACATCATCATCTGTAAGCACCACTATATGGCATTCTCTTTCCCCACTCTGGGCACTAGCTACCATAAGAGGGAGGATCATTTCTTCCAGATAAAATTCAAATTGTCGACGAGCACCATCATTTGATAACTCATGCATTAGGGCACCTGAAATAAAACCCACAGAAAATCTTTGTTTCTTTTTTTTCTGGATAATTTTGTTTAATTTAAAGTAAAGAAAAGCAGAAGTCAATGAGATTCTTATCTCCAATTGTCTACAGGAAAACTCTGAGTTCTGGTTCAAAGTGGTACAGTGCTAGCCTTGAGCAAAAGAGCTCAGGGACAGTGTCTATGCCCTGAGTTCAAGCCCCATGACTGACAAAAAAAGAAAGAAAGAAAAGAAAAACAGAAGTAAAGCAAAAATCAAACACTAGGTCCATATCTATTTTGGAATCTTACAGATGATATACCTGTCTACAGTGGCCATAACTTTTCCTAAAAGGAGCTCGTATAGCCTACATATCTAAGAGGAAATTAATCACACTGAATGGATGAAGGATCTGAGAGCAGATGAAGAGAATAATAAGCATAAGACTGAAAAGAGAGATGCCTAAGAGAAAGAAGAGGGAAGCAAAAAGAAATCAGTGAAAGTAAAACACAAGGTCCAGATTACAAATAAATTTAACATTGTTCAAAATCCTTTAGCCAGCCAGGTGCTGGTGGTTCATGCCTGTAATTTAGCTACTAAGGAGATCTGAGAAGCGCTGTTCAAAGCCAGCTCATGGGTAGGAAAGTCCATGAGACTCTTATCTCCAATTAACCATCAGAAAATCAGAAGTGGCGCTGTGACTCAAGTGGTAGAGTACTTGCCTTCAGCTGAAGAGCTCAGGGACAGTGCCCAAGCCCAGAGTTCAAGCCCCACAGCTGACAAAAAAGGAAAACAAAAATCCTTTATCCAATATAACATGGCAAAAAAAAAAAAGTTATTTACAACAGGGTCAATTATCTAAAAATACATGATAATCAACTGAGACTATTAGACAGTTTTATAATGTACTAAATACAAATGTACAAATTCAATAAACTTCTATACATTAATTAGCATTTAGAAAAGTTTAATGTTCTTAAACACAATAATATACAAATAATCAAACAAAGTCAGAGCAGAAATCACATGGAAAACAGGACAGAAATTCTACTACAGTATGAATAAATGGAAAGGTATCACAATAAACATATTAATTCTTCTAAAACTTTCAAAAAACCTATTTTGAGATGATAAATTTCTAAATATCTACTAGAGACATGAAGACAGCTTTTAGTATGAGGAGAAAATTCATGTTATTCGAGGGGACAAGTGTAACAGGCTCTTAACAAAAAACAATTCAAAAGTTTACTTATATGGTGAGGACTATGAAAATAAAGTCAAGCCCGGTGCCAGTGGCTCATGCCTGTTATCCTAGCTACTTAGGAGGCTGAGATCTGAGGATTGTGGTTCAAAGCCGGCTGGAGCAATAGTCTGTGACTCAAGCTCAGGGACAGTGCCCAGGCCCTAGAGTTCAAGGCCCACAACCAAACAGGAAGGAAGGAAGAAAGAAAAGAAAAACAGAAGTAAAGCAAAAATCAAACACTAGGAAGGAAGGAAGGAAGGAAGGAGGGAGGGAGGGAGGGA